CAATAAGATTTTAAACATGAGGTTTTCCAAGCATTTCTATCATGTCGTATGACAACCACGCCTACTTCCTATGTAACAAACTTTAAATTTCCATCTGATTCCTTGATTTTACAGTATACACATCAAATATAATATTATTGAAGTTATTAGAATAAAACTGTGCACAAATAGTGCGCTCAAAGTATTTCATCTTAGGTCCCAAAATTGTAACCAAATTTGCTGAGATCAAGTCCTTCTAGCATCTACTCCTACTTCGTGTTAAACGGATGAAGTCGGATGATAACCACGCCCCCCTCCCATATAACGGTTATCCTGAAAACTAGTAAAATTGCGGTATCTCACTAAACAAGAGCGCCAGAATCATTAAATTCAACCCCTTAAAATACTATACGAATTTCAACTAAAGTCGATACGTTACATTATCCTGATATCCTTATATTGTAGAATGAAAATGGGCAAAATCGGACAACAAACATGCCTACTTCTCATGTAACATAATTTTGAATTTCATCTGATTCTTTCAAGTTGCAGTATATAAATCAATGAAAAATGACATCGGTACAAAACTATGCACTACTGAATTCAAGCTATGTCATCTCTCCCAGTCTTACACATCTCGCAATAGTATCATAAATCTTCACCTAAAATGTAGATCCGAGTGCCTAAATCTGACCGAAAATATCGGTCAATCTTTGAAATTTATTAATGAAAGAGCATCTTTTCCTAATAATAGTGCTCACTTTGTCAACTCCTAAAAATACGCCCCCGGCTATGATCTTTCAAAATTGCGGAAGTATAAAATGTTCAGTCTCCCCCGAACTTAACCCTTCCTTACTTGTTTAAGAAACATTTTTGCCCAACAATTTTGCCCATAGAATACAAGGTTACGACAACTTTGTAATCATATGTTTGATAACGAAGTTGGTTCAAATTGGTTAATTGCCATAGTCTCTTAAATATGTTTGTGTTATTTTATTCTTGAAATAGGTTAAAATATTTGTTATAAAAGCTAATAAATGGTCCTGCTCTTGTAAGCAATTGATAAGAATTTGTATCAAAGATGTTATGAAATGGTTTTTTATTTCAAAAACTTTTTTAGACTTCAAGAATATATCAATTGGAAATAAAATTTGAATTTTCTAAACAAAAAAAATGTATATAATTGTACACGCATAGCATCTTAAGTTCTATATGATTGAAATAAGTCAAATCCGTTAAAAAAAAAGTGGTAAATGGGCAGCATGCGCCATTGTTTGAAAAAACCGTATATCAAAAACCAACCAAATTTTTTAAATATATAATATCAAGTTCACTTCAAAAGTGTTAGAAGTATGGTATAAATTGTGCAAAAATCGCTTCCAAAATTCATGTGAGTGATATGAATTAGTATTTGTTATGAAAAAAATTTATTTTTAAAATATTCGTTTAATTATTTATTTATTTTTATTACAATAGGTTCAAACACACATTTCTTAAGATTTCGCAAAAATGGGGATTTAAGAATGCTTTGGGTTATCTTTTGCGAGGCGGAGGTTAGTCAAAATTTAATAACTTTAAAGTGCACGATATATTTATTTAAGTTTTTGTCATTTACAAAAATAAATGTGAATTCGTAATAAATCTTTAAAAAAATTAAGTTTTGTTCAATCAAATAGCTCTCTTCAACTCCTTTATGCCGATCTCAAAATAATAATTCAATATACATATTAACTTATCATCTAAATTAAGACATTCTTGAACACTTTTTTGAAACCGTTTGCTTGGCCGATTGCGGCAATATTGAATCCGACGATACATCGGATTTAGAAGAGACACGGTTATCACTTACTGGTGTGTATAGGCTTTCAAATAGATAGTTATTAGCAAGTATGTTAGTATGTTTGACTTCATTTCATCTAAGTTTACTATGTTATTACGAAAACTTCAACTGAAAATTTCTGAAGAACACAGTACTGACAACGAATTATTGAATCTCGAATTCGACGGTATAGAACATTTGTTGGGATACATTTGTAAAAAATTAAAAACTGAAGTGTTTGAAATTGATAAAGATCAGAAGTATTTGCACATGGATTAATCACTAAAAAAATCAGAAGGTTCATAGCAAAAAAATGCGACATACTAATGGATTGCGCTACATAAAAGTTTCTCACTGCTAAAAATGCCAATAGTGAAGAAGCCAATATGATATTGTAATGCAGTTTGGCAGCAGCTTCTATTGAATAATTTGGTTTTTTGTTTGTTTTGATTTTGTTTTTAATTTGAATTGAAACAAAATTATTATGTGATCTCCGCATGGAAAACACTTCAGTGGTCTGGTATTCGGAAGGTGATTCTGGTACTTAATTTTGCTGAAAAGACATCACCTCCCACTCGATTATCTAGGTTGAACCCATCCGTATAGATGCTTATCCCTGTGTCACTGTCCACCTCACTTGTTTCTCACTCTTCTCTGGAAAGGAAAGCAAAATTGAGGGTTGAGTACAAGTTAAATTCTACTTGTATGGGATTTAGAAAATCCGTGGTATCGGGTGGAAACTTTAATTTATTTACTGAAAAGTTTCTATAAACTTATGTATATACGTAGAAAGAATTTGTAAAAGTTTCCACACCACTTTTCTTGAGTTAAAATTTGCGTTTTTGTAAATAGTAATTTTAATTAATTCTAATTATTATTAAAGAATTTTATTTTATTGAAAAGTTTTTGATCAACTATTTGTAGTTGTCTAACTTATAACAAAAAATGAGTAGAAGAGAAGCCAGTTGGGTATGAGATTTTTTCAAAAAGTCCATAGATGGTCGCAGAGTAGTATGATCGATATGTGTTGCTGTACTCAGCTTCAATTGCTTGACATCATCATTAAACAACCAATTAAAGTTTGTGCACAAAAAGGAAAAAATTACTGGAGCTAACACATAAGTATTGCCTATATTTCGGTGGAAGCCCAATATATTAATAACTACGTGCTATGCAGCGTCACTCTTAGCAATAAGCAATTGGAAGGTACTGTTTACATTAGTTATTTCAAAAAATTAAAAAAATATACTGGAAATAAATTAATAGGCAGACCAAATGCAGTTAATATTGCTTCGGCCGTTAAAAAAGTACTAGCGCACAGGAATTAGGCGGAAAGAACTGAGAGCATAACACATGATAGCGTTACAAAAATAGAAATACCTTTATCCATCAAGTGCAATGCCTCTTTTACAACAAGCCGCAATAAATGCTGCTACACAATACGAACAGAACGGTAAAATTATAGCCGGACATTTTCATCACTCTAACATTGCTAAAAGTCCCCTTACAATTATTTATGTCTTAAATATTTTATGTCTGAAAGCTTGCTATGAAACCGCAATGCAATTCGTTTAGTTTTGTCCGATAAAAGAGTAACAAAAACCAATGATGCATTACGGCTATAAATGACAGAACAGGAGTGGACCGACATGGAAAACATGGTATTAAAACCGTTTGATAAGGCTATAACGGTACTATGTGGAAAAAACAGCAACTCTTTCTTTGGTACGGCTATTTATAAATCGTTTTGTAAATTCCCATATGTTCGTAACTACTAAAGACAGGCTCAAGGAGAAAGTATTTAAAGAAGCTGCACGTGTTTCACTATGGATAAGGTTTAAATTCAAAATGAAAACACTGATATGGCCTTTTCTTTTGTTAAAAAATAAAACCATTTTGTAAGTGAACCAATTGAGAAAATTGAAAGCATTGATATGGCCTTTTTCTCAGCATAATATGGAGCGTTTTAAGCAGAATAAAACCGATTTCTTGCGTCGTTTTATAACTATGGATGAGACTTAGATCTACCAGCATGATCCTCAATTGAAACAAGAACGTTTACGCTTTTCGTCAAATGAAGAAACTATTACAGCCGTATACGAGCATTGAATTTTCGTATTTCGTACTTAAAACAGTATTATTTCATTTCGAGCGCAGGAAGAATGGAGTAGGCCTATCAGATAAAATTCTAAAATCGTGGAGTGTGACTACAAAGCCAGAATATAATATAAAATGGCAGTGGCCCCGCCCTCTAATAGGTTTAATGTATAAATCTCTTAAACCATTCAATTTATGTATGTCACCCAAATTTGCACCAGACAAATCTTTTTGGCACCTGCTTCCACACAGTGCAAATGCCTTAAATTTCACATTTCATTTAATTTTACAAATTATAAATCGAGAACTACTCACCTTATTGCAATAACACTTTCCGAAAATAGTGAATTTAGGTATTCCATCTCGCGTCAAAAAATTTTCGATATCAGACCTCAACCTTTCAAGGCCCCTGATACCAATTATGTGGACCCCAGTGCCTCCGAAAATATCGGTCAATCTGTGAGATTTAGTATTGAAATCTTATATAACAGAATGCCCTCGTGTTAAAAATGGGTAAAATCGGTTCAATATATCGGTTCAATATATCCCCATATATCTAAAATAAAGATTTTCGAACTTCCCGTTGGCTTCACACGGTATATCGGTCAATATGTAAGATATCTCAATGAAATTCAGAGATAGTCTCGTACTAATAATAGTTTTGTAAATAAAATGGTTAAAATCGGGTGAATACTTCCTCTATCACTCATATACGTAACCTCCCATATACCTCGTATAAGGATTTCAACCTTTCGGTTGGCTATATACGGTATATATTGGTCAATTTGTATTTATAAAATTCAATGAACGTGTTATATTGGATATTCTTGTATTATAGTTTAATACCGCAAATATGTGAAGTACCTCACCGGATTACCCCAGCACCTATATATAATATTATATATAATATAAAGATTTTTGCTAGTTTAGCAATATCTATACCGAATATGTCGGTAAATTTATCATTTCGGATCTGTATAAAATCTTTTATATTTGTGAACAGTATTATAGCTTCGATGCAACGAACGTTTTTTTTTCTTTTTTTAATGAATTCTTTGCAGCCCTGCCTTTTGGAGTCTATTGAAGAGATGATTACTTGAAAAGCTTTTGTTTATATTAAAATTGTTTCTCATACTTTATTAACGTATAACAATAACTATTTTTTTAAATTTATAGGCACGATTTTTTTTTAATAAAAAATATTTGTACAAATTCTTGAAAAGATTAGCAACAAAAACCGAAAATTTTACATCACTATGCTTAACAATCGCCTAATATACATATATATATATATATATATATAGTATATTTTAAGTTCCATGCAAATTGGGATGGTGTCCAGAGTTGTTATAGACAGCTTTTGCGACTTCGTCTTTTAAAGTTGACGGAGGGTCTGACAAAATATCGGTTTTCATTGACAAGTACTTTAATTTATTAGAAACAGCTATAGGAAAAAAGCACATTTATTAATATAATTATTTAAATAAATTTCAATAACACTACAAACCTGGCCGCAAGTCAATCAGCGAACAATGCTGGTCGACCCATAAAAACGCTGTGCGTCGTAATTCCTCCAAACTGGCACTGGACACTGATGCGGTGTAAGAGGTTAACAGGGGTTCTAAAATAAGTCCCAACTGCGAAAAAATATTAGAATGCAATAGTCAATGCATATACATCTCTTTTATAATTACTTATTAAAAACTTACAATCCAAAATTTCCAGTCTTGCATTGTACGATGGCGCACATACTGATCATACAGCTGCCGAACATGTTCTGTGCCTTGACGTGTCACAGGTGCGCCATTAGCTGGGAGGATTGAGTGCAAATGCCTGCGGTGAAAATTAAATTTTAGCATTAATCGGAACATGTGATCATTTAGAAACCCAAGAAAATTTTACTTTTAATTAACGTTACAACTAGATATATATATCTACACCCCTATTATATATTTATATTACCGATCTATATGCATGTGCATACTGAATTGATTCATACTTTTTGTCTTTTGAACTTTTAGGGTAGAAAAATTAAAAAAAAATCTCATTTGGCAAAACGATATACGCGGGCTGTAATATATCAGTCTAAATGTACTTAGTCCAATACTTTCCCTTTAAGCAATATCTGCTAAGCTGTTTTCCCGAAAATTTAAAGCCGACGTCTCACTCAAGCTTGTCATGAACAATAAGGGATTAGTGAAACTTTATTTTACTGCTTCATCAACTTATTTCACGTAAATCCATAGCGGGCGAGTGACAATTTCGAATTAAAATTCCTACATATACGAGTTATACTCAACATGTATAGTCAACGTAAAGGATAGCCGTAACGCTGATCCCGTTCGCGTGCCATTTCAAGTCTACTGATTTAACAACAATTTTTCAGTGGTCATCGTTTCGAGTTAACATTTGAATTAAAATTTTTAAAAGTTTATTTAAAATTTCTTATTTACATTTTTTCTCATTTGCGTACTTTGTGTTCTATAATTTTGAACTAGAGCTCGCACCGAGTCATCATCTTTTACTTTAAAACGCTTTATATTTTAGCAAACTTTTAATTCTGATTTTCGAGTTAAAAATTTAATTTTCAATTTTTACTATTTATTTATAAAAATATTATTTTCAATTTTTAAGTAAAAGCATCCAAAATATTTTCAATTTTAAATTCCAACATCTTGGATTAAAAATTAAAATTTCAATTGGATTAGAATTCCAATTTGTGATTTCAACATTTTAGATTAAAAATATTTAATTTTATTCTTTTAATTCGATTTATTTTAAGATGGTCTAATTAAACCTTTGAAATCTAATCCAATATACAATTTAATTTTTAATCTAAAATGTTGAAATTAAAACTTGGAAATCTACTTATAATCCACAAATGTTCTTATTAAAAAAAGTCAAAACCCTGGCTATAAGCCAGTAAGCTTACACCAATTAGCATAACCTATATTAGTGATAACTTACGTTAGCGAGTTATTGAGAATGTCTCTCTCCTTAAGCAAAGCTTCCATATGATCCTTCAATTGATTACGTTCCGCACGCAAATGTTTAATGTGGTCCGCACCTTTTTGCAACATGGCCGCTTTACTCAGCTGTAAAAATGAAAGAAATCAGTGTTAAAACTGGTTCATTATATGCTATTTTAAAGTGATATCACCTACCTTGGCATTGGGATTTTGTTGCAGTTGCGGTATAAGCGAATGCAATAAATCAAAACCATTTTTAATGTTATACCGTCGTTTTTGTTCGGCATGTATATGACCGGCGCGCCTTTGATTTTCGCGTGGAAATTTCAAACTATGTGTTGGTGAAAGCGGTGAGTCTTGATCGTGAAACGATTCTGGTGATAAGCTCAAGGTATTGGTGCACATGGCTGCTTGACTGGCTGTCGGCGGATAACTCAACATCTGATTGATGGGAATTAGGAATTTTATATATACTATTTTCCGCCTTCTTAAGTAAATTAATATTATTTTATTAATTTTTACCTTACTGCAAGGTGGGCTATGCAACATTTGTGGTGCCGCCGGTGTTGGCAGTGAAGTAGATTTTTTTGGTGACTTCTGCAGTTGTTCTTGATGCATTCGCATGCCGTGAGGAGAGTATGATGAATCCGTTGATGTTCCCGACACATTAGTGGCCGCGCATTGTATATTGGGTGTTGCAAAATAATTGGTGCTGGTTGATGTGGTGACATTATTTTGTGATTTATTTGTGTTTACAGTTATGGTCGAAGACGCTGGTGGTGGCACCACTACAGCTGGCATCGGAACATTTATATTTGATATGGCACTTGAGGAAGAATTTTGTTTCTTAAGCAATGAGCGTGAGCCTAGATAATACATGAACTTACATTTATTTCTATAATATTAAAGCAAATCACAAAAATTATAATTTTTATCTATCTACGAAGTTAATCAGATAAACGAAGAGAGCATTTAACTTAGCTAAGTTATGTTACTGTAGTATGTCTCATAAAAATTCTACATATGGGTTTTAGTAAATTCAAACTCGCATTCGGACAAAACTTTTAATAAAACTGGAATTTAAATTTATAATTTTCTCGGAAGCAGACAGTCTTTTCACTGCGATCCAACTCCATTGAATCCAAAAATAAGAAAAAACGTTATCTTCCGTTGCACCGAAGCCATCATACTTTCACAGATGCATTTTTTAAAGCAAAAAACTGTAGAGAAAGATCTTTATCTTGATTTTGATCGGTCAGTTGAAATGGCAAATGTACGCTATAGTGATCCGATCTGATCATTTGTTTATATATTTTATACGGTTTCCGACATTTCCTTCGGGGTGTTACAAACTTTGTGTCAAACTTAATATACCCTGTTCATGGTATAAAGAAGTTTCAACTATTGCTACAAAAATAACAACGTTAGTAAAAGGCGGGATCTTTATTATTGTGATATTAGCGTAAAAAACGCCTAATTGGATCTGGGTATTGGTTCCAGGTTTTTATGGGCCGATAGAAATCCTGATCAATTTAGATTACGTAGACACAACTTTTATGGAAACTGCAGAATTGCTCACCAATAATAATTGTAAGCAGTGTCATATGAATCAACTAGATTTGTCTTCTGGGGCATTATGTGGACTTCATCTCAAAAACGACAAGTCGTATAACTTCGAGGGGAATTTATATTACAACAAAATCAAAACTTAACTGTTTTATGTCGAAGTGAAGATTATAAAGCACTATAACAACATTTCGTAAAATTCAGTTTAGAGCGCAGCCGCGTTATGCTTCCTTAATGCTACTGAGTTAAATAAAATAATTTGAAATGAGGGGCGGACGCAATAGGTCCAAGTTTCCTTGGCATTACAAATCTAAAAATGTTTTAACTTACTCGTTGTCAAAAGTTGAGCTAAGGTACTATTATTTAACATCGGATCGCTGGTAGCTGATTGCAACTGTGGTGAGACCATCAGATTACTACTCGTTGCACTACTGGACTTATTGGCGCCGCTGGGTGCAACTAGCGAATGCTGATGTATTGAATTGCTGCGTGAGCGTGGCTTATTATTTTTAGCCTGATATTTGGGTACAGCGAAGTTATCGTGACTTGAGCGTGACTCCAATTTTTGCAGTGTCACATTTAAGGGTAAACTATTCGAACGAAACATTTCACGTGGCATCATATTCACAGAGGGTTGTTGTTGTTGTTGCTGCTGCTGTTGGCTAAGTTGCTGCATTTGATGTTGCTGCTGCGTTGTTAAGAGATGCTGAGTAGACTGTTGTTGTTGTTGTTGGTGCTGATGACTAGATGAAGGCGATAGCTGGCATTGTGCTTGTACCTGTAATTGTAAGGGGCTGGACAACGAAGTCACCTGACAACCTAAATTCAAAGGTAACGATTGTTGATGTACGTGTTGTGCATTCGGAGTTTGATCGTTCATATAGGGCGAATTCGTATTGACGCGCATATTAATGTAGCCGCCAGTGGATGCGGATTTCTTAAAGTTACTCACACTCGGATAAGGTTTATAAGCGTTTGAGTTATTGTTACAACTTAGATTAGTGTTGATGCCATAAACATCATTTGAAGCACTTAAATTATACATGGATAGCATATCGGTGGATGGTGGTTCCGTTTTCACCGTCTGCAACAGCACTGATGTGTTTCCAGTGTGTGGTGAGTTGTTAGCATTGATTTGTGTGGTATTGGGCATGCAATTTGTGGTTGTCTGTATTATTGCGTAACCTTTCGGCTTTTGATTAACCATAGAAACATTAAGCAGATTATTGTTTACGTTAATACCACTATTAGCTGAGGCTGATATATCAACACTACCATAGCCACCGTATACTGCACCACTGCCACCGTCGCCGGTGCCTCTTATAATTGTGGCAGGTGTGGGATATTGTGTAGTCGCTGATTGTATTTGTTGCTGCTGTTGTTGTTGTTGATGGTAGGACATGCTATGATGTTGCAAGGCTGTGCAAGGTAAGGTAGGCTGCAAATGTTGACTCTGTTGGCTTTTCTGGTGTTCTGCCAACATTTGCTGATAAATTGTGGTTTGATGCAATGTTGGTTGAGCTTTATCATAATTATGGGGTTCCCGCCTGCAGTAATATTAAGTACATGGAAAAATAGTCGATAATTTTTCAAAGTAAAAAATATCATAATGGTATGAAACCCATTTGTAAGGAAAGATAAAATAACAAAAATGAAAGGAAAAATAATTTACAGGCGATCTGAGGTTGGGAAGAGAAAGAGGAGATTTCCAGCAAAACTACGAGTAGAAAAGAGCTACATGGCAAAGTTGTAGGTAATGATACGATCTTTTTTATATTTCATTCACATACATTTTTAAGTTATGTGAAAAAGTTGTAGATACCAAATTTGTAGATCATTTCATTACCCACAACTTTGCTTCATATGTAACTTTTTTCCATAGAACTCGTAGTTTCGTAGTTTACTATGATATTTTTTTCACTTTTTACCAATTTCAAAGGTTTCTGCACAGGCTTATTATGAAATTTATTTTACCTAAATATCCTTTGTGAGTTTTTGGAAATTCTTCCCTTCATCACACTTTTACTTGGAAATTCGTTGCCTGAGGATCGATTGTTTGAAACGCTTTCACTTGTTGTCGGAAAGTGCTTGGAGTGCATTCGCATAGTTGACGAGGTGGATGTTGCAGAAGCGGGAGAACCTAGCCCATCATTAACCCCTACTGCTGATGCATGATCATCGGTCATAATGGTGTCCACAGAGTTAATTGTCTGCGTTTGATTAGATCCTGAGGTATTCATTAATTGACTATTACTATTTTCACGAGATAATGGCGTTGGATAACGTTGAACCATTGACGATTGAAACTGTATCGAATCAAGTGGCGCATTTAAGTCCAACATATTGGTATCGTCGTTTACAGGTAGTGTATTAGAATTGTTACCACCAACAACACCAACCATATTATTTGACTCTAGCTGATCAGAACCTATGGATGCAATGTTTGACTGAATTATACTATAATATATATATAGAGTAAATGAAGAAATACCCATGATTGCTGAGAGGTTATATTCTACATTTTTAAGCATTTCATCAGTGCCTTCTTCTGGCACTGGCGGAAGCCGATTCGGCTGCAACAGCTCTGAGAAGAATAAAGCTTAGTGATAAATAGAAATTAATTGTTATGTGTGTGTAGTGCATATGCTTACCATCAATCGTCAGATCGATATCGTCAATATTCGGTTGAAGAGAGCCCAGACCAGGTTGTATGAAATCAGCGATTCCCGCACCACGCGCTGAAAACGTTAATAAATATTAGCAAGCACAGTTATTTTGTTCCGTGCCTACGAGACTTGCCTATTTCACGAGGATCTGGAAACGGAAATGGTCCATTAATTGAAGAGAACAGCGTGTCATTTGTCCAATCATCGGGTATCATTAACATGCGATCGTTCAGTGGAGACCATTCTAAAAAATCGAATTCGCTCTTCTACAAATACAAAAAAACATCAATAAAGAAAGGTTCAGTGAAGTATCAATAAGTGAAACATATTTGTTGTATGTTTTTGCAATAGTAGTAAATATATCCTGTATACGGTGTACTACTAAATTTGGTACGAAGTTTGTTACACTCAGAAGGATACTTCTAATACCCTATAAAATATATATACTTATGGACAAAATAATAGGTGTTCGTTTAGCTGATACTGTTTTTTAGCCAAATGGTGTTGTAACTGTTACCTTTTTTTTGATACCATTACATGTTTACGATGAAGGCGAAAGAGTAGTGCATAAGTATCAACAAATTGCATTACTATTTTGTTAATTTTGCGTTTGAATGACAAGTTATCATTGCTTCATTAAATTTGTTTGGCCAATCAAATAGGTGTGGCTAAATGAGCCTACGTCGTCCCGAAAACCTACACCAACACACCTCACACATCACTGACACGCAACATTCACCACATCACCTCTCGCAACATTCACCACCTCACCTCACGCAACATACACCTCACAGAACGACACTACCACCCAGGATACACAACACACTAGGCGATCACCCCACCAACCATCAACAAAAACCACGGACACTCGAAGCGGCGGCACTCTTTTGCGTATCGAAGTCGAAGCGGACACCTCGTCAACGTTGTATTCCCGTCGCAATATAATACATCAGCGGACCTGAGCCGGACAATCCATTTTTTCTCTGTACACATTTACATTTTTTTATACCTTTTCTTTGCGCTGCGTCGCAAGTGTTTTGGTTTTATTGAGTGGCGTTTAATATTTTAAAACAAAAAATTAATAAAACTGTTGCATTTTTAACACAAAGGAAGTGGTGAGTGTGATTTAATTCCAAGAGGTTGGAATAAGATTATATATGGTCCTTCGAGCCGGATCTGAACCAGCGACCTATGGATCTTGAATATCGTGCAGCAGAAAGCAGAAATTAAGGTTAGTTCAAATTTGTAAGAAATTGGCAAAGAAAAAGCAAGAGGCAAGTATACAAATAATTCACAAAAACGCCAATTATGGATGGCTCTGGAAATAATCGTTATGAACTTTTGTTCATGGACGATGATGTTAGTGATCCATTAGATAATGTTGCGAGCAAGTCGAAAAAGCAGGTTAAAACTGCTGGTGCCAGTGGGGGTAGTGCACCCTCTACAAAGTTATCGAATAAACAAAATGTCGACGGTCCTACAAGGGCACTAAAGAATAAATAAACCGCCCAATAACAACAAGCCAGTAGCAACAACAATTTAAATAGAAGCTTCTTCAAAAATCAAACGTTCACATCCGAACAGTACAAGCAAACGTCATGCGAACTATGTACAGGAGGGCATAAGCTCAAATCTTGCGAGAGATTCAAAAAGATGAATATTTTCGATCGAAACAATTTTTATAAAAACGAAAAGACTTTGTACAAATTGCCTATCACATGCACATACACTTAAAGAGTGCGAAAGCAAATTTAATTGCGTTTATTGTCATAAACGACATCATTCAATGCTGCATTACAGCACATTTTCCAGCTCACCCCCAAACAGCGCAAATACAAAAAGAGCCACGGGTTTAGTTGCAACAGCAAATCCCGAAGTGCGAAATCCCGAAAATTGCCAAGAAGCACCATGCTGCTCAAAGGCATTAAAAACCCAAACGCTACACAGCGAAAATCAAAGTAGAGTACTACTACCCACAGCAGTCGTCTCCATCGAACACCGAGGAGAACTGTTTAAACTTAGGGCCTTAATAGACCAAGGATCACAACGATCCTTCATAGCGTCTAGGGCTCAAAATAGGCTTCAACTGCCAACAAAACTAGCCAATTTTGAAATTACAGGAATGGGCGGAAAAGTAGTTCAAAACTCTAATAAAATCTGCTCCATTACCTTAATTTCCCCCCAAGCGGATAAGCACATACAAGCAGAAGCTATAGTCTTACCGCAACTTACAAATATGCTTCCAAGCTATCACATAAATAGCAATCATTGGCAAAAGGTTTCACACCTAAAGCTAGCAGATCCCAACTGCAACACTCCCGCTCAAATAGACCTTCTATTAGGAAGCGATCTCATACCACAGATTATACTCGAAGGTATTGAGAAAATTTCAAATACACTTCTGGCACAAAATACTATTTTTGGGTGGATCCTAAGTGGACTAGTTTCGGAACCAGTTACCACCATGACCACTCAGGTTGAGGAAATCTCAAACGAATACCTCAATTCACAATTGAAAAAATTTTGGGAGTTAGAAGAACTCCCCCCCATATCAATCACAACCCCTGAAGATCAGTATTGTGAAGACTTTTACAAAGCCACAACTACTAGATCAGATAATGGTCGGTATGTCGTACGACTACCACTAAAACAACAATTTCCCAACACAATCGCCTTAGGTCACTCTCGCACCTCTGCTATACAGCAGTTTTTAAGTATGGAAAAAAACTTACTTAAAAAAGGTGAGCTTAAGCCAGAATACGATGGCGTGTTGGAAGAATACCTCCATTTAGACCACATGGAGGAAGTAAGCCCATGCGAAAAAATCGTAAATGGCAAATATTACTCATTTTACTTGCCTCATCACGCAGTAGTAAAGCCAGACAAAAAAACAACTAAAGTAAGAGTTGTCTTTAATGCATCAAGATCTACTAGCTCGGGGAATTCCCTAAATGATATTCTATTTACGGGACCCACGCTCCAACCAGATTTAATGCTACTCATTTTAAATTGGCGTATATTCAAATACGTATTTAACGGAGACGTCGAAAAAATGTATAGACAAATAGTCGTACATAAAGACGATCAAGATTTTCAGCGAATTATTTTCCGAAAATCTCCCAATAGTCCACTCCGCGACTATAAATTGAAAACAGTTACCTTTGGCGTCAACTGTGCTCCATATTTAGCCATTCGAACACTGCACGAATTGGCAGAAAACACCAAGTCAGAATTTCCTCTGGCTACCCAGGTGTTAAAAACTCAAACGTATGTAGACGATATCCTGTCTGGAAGTCACAGTCTTCCACAAGCATACGAGTCACTATCACAAGTGGTAAAGGCCCTCAATACCGCAGGGTTTCCGTTGAAAAAAATAACGGCGAACCACCCTAACATTCTAAAAAATATACCAAATGAAAATTTGTTAGATACTAATTTCCTTAAATTCGAAAAGGAAAGTACAACAAAAACTCTGGGGATCCAATGGAATGCGATATCTGACCAGTTTTCATACACTACAGAGTCAATATCTGCATTATCCGCCATAACGAAGCGACAAATTCTATCCTCTGTGGCGAAACTTTTCGACCCCGCAGGATGGCTTTCGCCAGTTATGATACAAGCCAAAATTCTAATACAAGAATTATGGCTAGATGGAACCGACTGGGACGAACAAGTAAAACCACTTCGTTTAGAAAAGTGGTCCCAGTTTGCAAACAATCTAAACGATATCTCACAGATACAAATCCCACGATGGGTAAATTATGCCCCAGAGCACAAAGTCGAACTACACGGCTTCTGTGACGCTTCTGAAAAGGCATATTGCGCAACTATATATGTTCGCACACAAAGCGACACTGCGACCACAAGCCACTTACTAGTAGCAAAAGCAAAAGTAGCTCCGCTAAAAACAATAAGTCTACCACGACTTGAACTATGTGGAGCGCTATTACTAGCCAAACTAGTGTCCATTATACAAACGCATTTAAACATGGCACAATATAAATTATATCTATGGTCCGATTCCGAAATCGTATTAGCATGGTTAGAAAAACCACCACATGCATGGAAGACGTATATTTCCAATCGAACGTCTCAAATCCTTGACCTAGTAGGATCAGCCACTTGGCGACATGTGGCCAGTGCTGATAATCCTGCTGATCTAGGTACAAGAGGGTGCAAACCCCTGCCTCTTGCCACCAACACACTCTGGTGGAATGGCCCCCGCTGGTTAACAGAATCTCCCGATTCTTGGCCACAAGCGCCCATGCGCAATATAATTGCCCCAGAAAGTCGAAAAATCGACTCTTTTCATGCAACATCGGATGATACTGACATCCTTGAGCGATTCTCATCGTTCCCCCGAGCCCTCAGAGTAGTTGCCTACATGATCAAATTTATAGAGCAGCTCAAAACTAAAGTTACCGGAACACCTCCAATATACCCCCAATGCGATACATTAACGCACCTTCACTTACAAAAAGCAAAAGGCGCTCTTATCGCATCTACTCAAGCGCGCTACTTCAGCCGAGAAATATCATTGCTAAAAGATTCGAAGCCAATCGATAAAAAGAGCTCACTTTTAGTATTAAATCCATTTCTGGACACAAAGGGTTTGCTTCGTGCGAATGGTCGGCTTGTCAACTCTAGCCTGACATACAACGAACGACACCCCATAATCATACCAGAAAAAGCACGGCTTGCCACATTATATCTGCATTATGTCCACATACTGATGCTACACGCCGAGCACCGCCTCATGCAACAAATAGTCCGCCAAGAGTTTTATATTCCCCGACTTAAGCCTCAAATAAAGAAGTGCATTTACATGTGCAAAGTTTGCACAACGTACAAGCAAAAAATGCGAACGCAGATAATGGCAGCACTTCCACCTGAACGCTGCAATTTTGCTCTGCCCTTTACAACAACAGGTGTCGATTTTGCTGGGCCTTTCCAGATAAAGGCTTCAATGTTAAGATCTCCCACTTTAATGAAAGGCTATGTGGCAGTTTTTGTTTGTTTTACGACAAAAGCTGTTCACCTTGAGCTATGTACAAATCTGACGACAGAGGCTTTTCTCGCGGCATTCGCTCGCTTCGTCGGACGGCGTGGTTTTCCCTCAAAAATAATGAGTGACAACGGCAAAACGTTTATTGGAGCCAAAAGAGCCACTGAGAAACAGTTTGTGGACTTTATCAAACAAGTCTCACCTGAGATTGTACAGAAGTACGCACCCCAAGGCATTAATTGGCAGTTTATCCCCCCAAGCGCTCCTCATATGGGTGGTTTATGGGAATCAGCTGTAAAAAGCTTCAAATCCCACTTCAAAAAAGTAGCTGGAAACTACAAGTTTAATTATGAAGAATTCTCGACCTTATTAATTCGAATTGAAGCCGTACTCAATTCACGGCCAATCACAATCCTCTCGCAAGATCCCTCCGATTTCACCGCCCTAACTCCTGGGCATTTTCTCAAAGGAGCACCCATTCTGGCCATACCTGAGCCAGACGTGGAGTCGCTATCCTTATTAAACCGATGGGAAAGAATCAAAATTCTCCATCACAATTTTAGCCGCCGATGGAAAGAAGATTATCTAAAGGACCTCCACAAGAGGTACCGCTGGAAAGCTCCAGAAAAGGCGCCGAAGCTTGGAGATTGCGTGCTAGTACACGATGATTGTCTCCCCCCTACCGAATGGCGGCTTGGCCGCATAGAAAACCTTCACCATGGTTCCGACGGTCACATCCGAGTAGTCGATCTCCGTACGCAAACCGGAACACTAACTAGACCGCTCGTAAAGCTATGCTTTTTACCCACAGCCGATAATACCGAACAAACGTAAATAATAACCCGATAAGAACCAAAAACCGCTAAAATTAATAAATCAAAAAAAACCTAAATCCGGTAAAAGGTCGATCGAACCAACGACCCATTTATGCCACTTAACGTGGCCCAAATTTCCAACACAAGCATGCGACAAACTTATAATCTAAATAACTTTTTTCCCATATAGATCATTATGGACGGAAATGCACCAACACCAACGCCAGCAATACGTTCGGCCGTTAATGTGCCACGCCCTGGGGCAAATCCTGCACCCCGAACTACGGCTACCACAGCCCCTCCAATCGCTCCAAGTAGTGGCACGCGGCCACTACCCCCGTCAACATCGCTGTCCGCGGAGCAGCACCGCCTCCGATGCCCGCTATGTCGTCGCCCACACCGGTTGCAACATTGCGGCATATTTAAAGGTATGCCACCAGTCCAACGACAGCAAATCGCCCAGGCACATGGACACTGCCTGAATTGTCTGGCGCACACCCATGCAACAACCGCATGTGAGTCAAGGGGGCTTTGTCAGATGTGCGGTGAGCAACATCACACACTCCTTCACCGTACCGCGAGGCGCGACAATGGTCGACTAACTGCCTCCCATCGCCGCGGCGTAGTCAGGCGACTCCCAAGGCAGGCATCAGCACGACCCCGCCGATCGGCACCCCCTCCGGAGCCACGTTCCTGGCGCCCACGCCACAACGCAATTACGCGCCGTAGTCAGCTTAGGCCACAACCCCGCCGTGCCACTGGGCTGAGCAGCGTCGTCTACACGCTGCAACAACTTCAGCGTCTGCTAGGCTAATATTCGCCTAGGGGGGCCGGGATGGCTAAATGAGCCTACGTCGTCCCGAAAACCTACACCAACACACCTCACACATCACTGACACGCAACATTCACCACATCACCTCTCGCAACATTCACCACCTCACCTCACGCAACATACACCTCACAGAACGACACTACCACCCAGGATACACAACACACTAGGCGATCACCCCACCAACCATCAACAAAAACCACGGACACTCGAAGCGGCGGCACTCTTTTGCGTATCGAAGTCGAAGCGGACACCTCGTCAACGTTGTATTCCCGTCGCAATATAATACATCAGCGGACCTGAGCCGGACAATCCATTTTTTCTCTGTACACATTTACATTTTTTTATACCTTTTCTTTGCGCTGCGTCGCAAGTGTTTTGGTTTTATTGAGTGGCGTTTAATATTTTAAAACAAAAAATTAATAAAACTGTTGCATTTTTAACACAAAGGAAGTGGTGAGTGTGATTTAATTCCAAGAGGTTGGAATAAGATTATATAAGGTGTAAGTAATATGTTTTAAAAAATAAGTGTTATTTCGAAGTATTTTTCATATTAATGTAGGTATTGGAGTATTTGTAATTTTATATTCTTTTGAACACCATAAACTAAAAACAAGAAATTATTTAGAATATGTCGTAAAAGCCACTGTACCAGTGTAGAGTATCGATTGTTAGAAAATTGTGTGATGAAGGAAAAACGTGTAAATTCATTGCAAATACGTTAGGGAGGTCGAAAAACTTTGTAACTAATGCTCTAAAGCAAAAAAATTAAAAGGAAACTCGTGGTCGTTCAAGAAAAACTAGCCTGATTGATGATCGCCGTTTACTTTTCATGACAAAAAAGGTAGGAACGGTAATCTACCGGGACGTAAAGCTAGAAAAATTCCTCGTCTAAGAAAGATCCACATACAGAGGAGAAAAGCTTTTGCGCTGAACATATATACATATATTTTATTCAGTTACGAAGTTAAGATTAATTTTTATGGAAATTATTATAAAATAAGCCAAAAGGCGAAGAATTTGATTGTAGATACAACAAAAAGACAATTAAGCATAAGGGTGAGGGGATGTTTATCCTGGCAAAGCATGGGTCCGTTATTTTGGATAAAGGACACAATGACCGCCATTGAGAACAGAGACATTTTGCAAAACGTGTTGCTACCATATGCTGAAGAAAACATGCCGCTGAGATGGAGTTATCAATAAGAGAACTACCCGAAACATACATCGGGGTTGGCATCTGGATGGTTAAGGGATGCAAATGTGACCTGTATGCAGAGGCCTGGTTAATCCCCTCACCTCAACCCGATTGAGAACTTGTAAAGTGACCTTAAGAGGAGCCTTTTATTTTCCAAGTAAGGAGCAATTGTGGTGAAAAGCAAAGGAACTTAATTCAATCCATGCCGAATAGAATTCGAAAACTAATGAAAAACCAAGGAAGATATACGGTTATCTAAAATCCATGGACCAAAAAAAGGATAACTTGAGTTTTTTGATTTTATTAAAAAAAAAATATTTTACACCTATTCTTTTGACTAATGATATTTATTATTTTGAAAAAGAAATTCAGTTTTAAAATTTGGAATGAAAGATTTGCGACATATTTATGTTTAATAAAGTAAAGCGTAAATATGTCTAAAACAAAATTATTTTAAATGCAAATTCTTCAAAGTTATTAAATAAAAACTGTGTACACCTATTATTTTGTCCATAAGTGTATAAATGATCAGCTGTGTTGATTTAGCCATGTCCGTTAGTCAGCCCTTATATACACGAATTAGTCTCACAGTTTTTGAGACATCGCTCTTAAATTTTGCACATGTTCTTTTCAGGTAGCCTTGTTTAGAGGTTTAGGGGCTTACAGAAGCCTAAACTAGGGAGAGACCGTCCACCATGAGTTGTATTACTTCAAGTAAGTGGCCCCAATGTTAAATTAAGGACTTAATCTATTTTTATTTTATTGCGGCAGTTTCTGAATATTTCATCTTTTCCACAATAAAAAATAGGTTGAATAGCTGTGCACTAAGTTTGTAAATATCAGGAATTTTTTAAGCTTGTCAATTAAACACTTTTAATATGGACACCCTAATGTCCATGTATCATAGCTGCGATATTCACAAATATTTCTATGCATATTTGTTGTAAACATTTTTGTATTACAGCAAAGCCTTTTATTTTACCTAAATCAACAATAATATTTGCGTAAGGAGGCGGTTGACAGTAATTACGTAGACCTGGCGAGTCCATAGATATGCAAAGCATTTCTATTCGCGCACTTCAAATCGAGTGGTCATATTAATTTTTTCCTTACGTGCGTAAATTTATATGTGCATATAACGTTAATAATGCCGGTTTTGAATATTGTGCCAGTTCTTCGTTTCTACACTATGTTGCTGCGTCATCTGGGAATAATGCCAATTGGCTATTGTCCGAAGGAAAATAAATATGTGTTGCAGACTGGATGGAAATTTCAATTGATGCATTGGAGCTTACAATGCACTTATATGCTATCGATGTCAATTTTGGTAACGAGAAGAGAGACGTTCTTCAGTAAGAAACATAATTCTATAGAACACAACTACTGGAGCATACTGGTTTTCGGTGCAATATTAGTGCAATTCTTGATAAATGCTTGGATTTTGACGCTTCGCCGCTTTCATTTGAACATTATAACCTATTGCATTCATTTAACGGAACAATTGTCCGGCATTGCCACACGAAAAGTTGGCCTTTATCAGCTAATTATAATGGTGGCCGTTATGGGAGCAAGTGCGCTCAACACTTGCTTCATGTGGAACAAGCTTTTGATGCCGAGTACATTCAAGGACATGTATCTGCATATGCCTTGGCTAATATTTCAAATATACTACTTTATACTATCGTTCATATTATCGATTTATATTTGCATCGTTCAAATCATAGCTGAACATTTGATCACTCTTAACACTTTTATTGCGACAATTACGTTTAAGCGACATTTGCGTATTACCGATATATATTTAGACAATATTCAAAGTTATTTAGAAATCTATGACAACCTACTGTTTCTATGCACTGAATATATAAGTAAAAGTTACGGCGTTATTTTTGTACTCATCACATTTATTTCGACGCTCGATATAACTTTCATTGTGTATACGATGTATACAGACCCCATTGACGGATATTTGGAGACTATTTATTGCGCAGCTCGATCGCTATCTTTCGCATTGCCATCTGTCATATTCCTGTGTATGGTGTTTCTGGGCAGTAACATACAGGTTCAGGTAATTATTTGAAAGATGAAGCAATAGTTGTTATTTAATTTAATTGCAATGTATAAATCCAAACTGAATTAAATCAATAGTACATAACCCAGTCTTCGATTAACACTAAAAAACTATATTCTAAACGCACGAAAAAACATGAAAATTTTAATGACATATTGTTTAAATATAATTTTGGATATTTGGCAACCACGACTGTGAGTTTTAAAGACCATCATTCCGGTCAATTTTTGCATCACTTTTCCGGCACAATCGGATAAAATGTAGTCTAACAGCTTCAAATTACATTCTTTTATTTTAAAAATGTATAGATTCATAATGTACTACGTCATGCAAGCTGAACTATGACTATTTACCAGGCAAAAAGTAAACAAAGTAACAACTGCTCCTTAAACCTATTATGTTAGCGCCAAAAGTATAGCCTTTTCAGTATGAATAAACCAAAAACGGATTTGTTAATATTCTTGTTTTCTTTCCTTCAAGTTTTAGCGCAAAAAAAATATACCTGAAAGCATTAACCAAAAAAAAAACATTTGATGTAAGCAATTACTTTGTATAATATAGCAACGCTTAACATGTCCAATAATGTATTATAGAGTTGTTCAGTTTTTTAACACGTCAGTCGAATCTACGACAACAAAAACAGCATAGACTTGGTCATAGTTTAGTTTCCCTTTGTTTAGGTCAACTAGGAAGTCAAGTCCATGTAGCGGAGTTTATATTCGTTTAGTCAATATAAGTATATAGTATGAAACTATATGATGGTTTGAGGATTTCAAATAGGCGTTTTTTCTATTCAAACCTCCTCATTTGATTGAAATAATTTCGCTAAGTTACAAACCTGGTGAATATCGTGGGTTAGGGAATAATTCATAATGTAATTTCTGAAATTTATCGGTCGCATCACATGTTGACTGGATGAAAAAGCACAGTACCTTTAGAGTGCAAGGCTTCTTAAACCAACAAACTTCACATATGAAGCCATTGCTTTGCATTAACGGTATTTTCTTCCAACTGGAAACTTTTTTTAATGAAAATGTCAACAAAGTGAGCGTTGCTTATGTAGATTTAGTATTATATTATTAAACGAGTATTAGCCTACTCTAGTTAGTTCCGTAATAGCAAGAATATTTCAAATACAATTAACAACAAGAATGAAAATTTCGTGACTTTCGGCTCAGTGAAACCTTCGACGTCCGTACTTATTTAATGCTATTAATATTGACTGCCATCTGTGGAATGACCACAACAGATCTATGTAAGTTGTGTAAACACATATTTTTGATTATTTATATTTTATGTAATAGAAATGTAGGCATCAATTAACTTAATTAGCCATTACAGGATATAAATTTAGTTTGTTGAGTTGTAGTTTGACATAAGTTTAGTAACGTTTAGAATGGCGTCATTTAAGTATTGGCAAATTTACTTGCCACTTATGCGTTTGGTTGGCATATGCCCGGCCAGTTTTTCGCCAGAAAATAAGAAATTCGTCTTAACTACACGCGATTTAATTATCGCGCTGAGCATAACCACGCTAACGCTGATTATGATGGAGTGTCTTCTTCTGATTAGCATACATTTAGCATTCGGTGGTTATTTAAAAACGTATGCTGACTTCAAAACGGCAAACACACTATTTCTCATACAAATTATTGCAGCTACAATTCTACAACTCTTCCAGAGTATTTACATTTTTGTGTTAAGAAATACTGGAATTGAAATGTTAAATGTGATTTATAAACACATCTGTATTTATACTAAAAATTCATTAGCTGGTGATTTCCACATAGATCGGTGCATTACGTGGACCTTGATTTTTCATATACTACTATTTGCAGCATACGAGATTAATCTACTAAATTCTATTTGGACGCATAACCTGCCACTTCAGCTAACAGTTTGCCTTTCATTTGTTTTGACAATCCGTCCAACAATTTGCTTCATAATGATATCTACGTATATTTATATAGTGTATGTGTTGTGTCATATTTTGGCTTTCTATAATAAAAGACTGCTGGAAATCGAAATCCATTTAATAAAATCCAAAATCGCGGTCCGATTAAAATTACATGAACTTTTGATATTGCGTGCTGAGTTGATTTCGCTTTCATGTAAACACATACGTCAAGTGTATGGTGTGCCTATGCTATTGGAAACTTGTTATGTTCTCTCCATATTACCTACATTCCCAGCGTTTGTATTGAATATGATAACTTGGAACATTCCGTTTAACATTATGCTTCTGAAATATTGTTGCACAGCTTGGTTTTGGGTGTTTCCACCGCTGCTGATCCTGATACAAGCGATGGCGATAAACACAATCAACGCTGAGGTAAAATTTTGAAAAACAAAAATGCTTCTTTATTGCTTCTAAATTTGAAATATTTGCAATGAGGGATGAGTGCAAAGTATTCTTTCGAAATTTGGTGCATGCAGCAGATAATAAAAAAATAACATTTTTTTAATAACATCCACAAAAGAAGATCGTAAGCATTTTAAGGGTATATTTTTAATTCATTTAGAATTTCAGGCAAAATCCTGTAGATTATCTAATTATTTCTACCTATAAGTAAGTGCTAGGCATTTTCTTTTTTATCTCGCAGGTAGATACAAGTATATACTTGTGATTTCAAAATTGTTGCTAAGCCATAAAGCTGATGCTAAATAACAACCAGAATTCCAAAGCTGAAAATCAGACTTATCGATAAATCACGGATACACGAGTCTCCAACGATTTGGAAAAACATCTAAAAATCTTGATTCGCGCCTCTATAGTCCGAACCGAGAAATCAGGGGAAATTCGTTGTTATAAGGAAATAAATGTTAAACGTAATTCCATTTAAATTAATAGTATTGAACGAAATCAAAATGTCTAGAAATCTATGCATGTTATGCCATCAAAGTGGAAATGGGATCGATAATGTTCAGTATTTCGAAAAAAATGTTGGCCTTACGCCCCAACCGGAGTTAAAGAAAGTAGTATATGTTTCGAAAAACAAGGCGCTGAAAATTTATGGAATGAAGTATATATTACAAATGTTTATAAAAAAGTCTTGACTTTTCAAACTTATATGAAAATACGGGAGTATTAGTTAATATAATAAAAATATAAAATATAACTTATTATATAATATTAAAGGGTGGAATCTTAGTAGGTTTTCCTATGATTAGGGAGCCTAAATATTTATCTAGTTGTTTGTCGTTCCCTCGAATGTATATATAGATACGACTTTTAAAGTCTTTTATTTAAATTCGAGTTTTTCTATTGTACTAGGGTCGATAGGAGAATATTATATTATATAATAGTGTTTTTAAAACTTTCCTAATAAATTTAAGAATTTTTTAAGTTTTTATACTCATCTATATATACTAATTTAAATTACATTAAAATGTTTAAGAGTTTAGAGGAAAACATATACTCGTATTATAAATTTAATGACTATGAAATTTAATAAAAATTATATATCTATTTTTAGGCGAACAATACGCTCAAAATTCTTGCGAAAATTCCGCACACTGGAACCGGGCTGGACAAAATGGTGATTAAAATTTATTAATTATTATGATTATGGCGCAAAATTTAAGAGAGCAATGAATCACTTTTATGAAAAACCTAAAACATAAACTTAACATGTAGTTAAAAAATGAGGCAGAAATTTATATTAGATAAAGGTTTCGGTAATTTGTTTGCGGTTCATTTTAAAAACATCGTCTCATAATGCGGATAATTTTGATATATATGACTCGTTTAATTAATATTATAATATGATCTAACACGATACAGTAGTATACACTGGTGGCAATTCCCATAAACTCACCTATTGTTTTCAGGTTTTTGTAATACAATTTCGGTTGACCCAAAATTAATATTACTCATCAATATTCATTATTATTAGAAGTGAAAATATTAAGATTAAAGCAAGTAATCTGCAATTTCAAGAAGTTTATAATTACTTTACTGTTTTTGAGCAGACATTTCATATAAACGCAGGTACAAAAATTAAACTTTTTTTAAGAATTAAATTGTGACTTAACTCCAAACTTCTTCTTAGTAGTCTGTACACTTCCCGTTGTGTTTTAAAACTTAAATTAATGTTTTCAGCATTGAAGCATTTAGGTTTTTGTAAGTCTCTACTGATATTGCAGCTCAAGCTTCTTTAATCACGCCTTCACGATCTTTAACTGTATTAAATTGTCGCACTTTAGCATAAAATCCTTTTAATAGAATACCCCAGCGATTTTCAATATTGTTTAAATCAGGGCTAAGAGCGGGTCAGTCGAGAAGTGGATTATTTTTTTGTCTGAAAAACTCAGTTGCCTCTCTGGAACAATGAATTGTGGTATTATCTTGCTGAACTGCATAAATCTTTTGCTTTCTCTATCATCATAATTTCTAACAAATCGTAATAGATTGACGTGTTCATTTTTGTTTGAACTCATGCATATTTAGTTGTACCATTAGAGCAAAAGCCTGCCAACGCCATGCTCCTCCACCTGATGACTCTTTCTCAGTTTTTTGGCAATTTCCCTTTTGTAAAGCCCAGATTCGTGATAAGCCTTAAAAATTATTTTGCTGATCTCTCAAAACAAAAACAATTATGAAGCGGTTTACACGTCATTATTTATCGCTATACTTAGTCGGCGTTGACATTCTGACTCTTTTGTCACTCATTATCGGCAAATTCACATTTGGTGTCGCTCTGTGCGTTCACACGAGGGAAAAGAGTTCAGTAACTTGAGTTGACTTTTTCTGTCATTCCTTTTCACAAAATGTTCGCAAATGTTTGTGCGGTTCGGCTACGCGACATGTAGAGCGTGTTGCATATTTCATTTGTATGTTGGTGGTCTCACATTTTGCATACTAGGAATTACGATGAATGTGATAGACCAATATTGAGAATGCCCGCTTATAATATTTTCAAGGAAAACTTATGATGGGAATTCCCTTATCCATCAGAATGTATTAAATACCCGCTTCTAATATTTTCAAGGCCAAATTTATGACCGGAATTTCCCAATCTATGGGGGGACCATATTTTTTCTTTTTATTACAAAACACTCATGAATTAATTATATTTCTTGTTTTAAATGATTTGATATCCGAATTCAATCCTTGACGTTTAAAAGAAATATATATAAACGCATCTTAATGTATTTAGGTATATATAAAAAAGTAAAAGTAATTCCATTTATATTAAAATTCATTTATATATATTATTACGTTTAATACTGCTAAATGTTATAAAATATTTAAATTTAATATTTTTGAGTTTTTTATTTTTACTCTTATCTATAATACCATTTTCAAAAATATTTCTATTATTCTATGCATATTTGCATACTGCCTTCGTCTTTCCTCGTCGTCTAAGTGTCCATGTGTGTACTGGCACTTAAGCGACAAAACTAAATGTACAAATTTCCTTTCCTTTAAGTTAAAGTTAATAGTGAGTTTATGGAAATTGCCACCAGTGTACACATATTTTTAAAAAGCTGTGTACTATGAACATTACTAATATTAAAAATTATTTCAAAAATACTTTTTTACACTAGGTGGATAAGTTTTTGATGAAAAATATACGTAAGAAACCGATGTTGACGGCTTATGGATTTTTCCAACTGGACCGCAGCGCTTTGTTCAAGGTTTTGGCTATATTTGAAATTGATTATATTTTGTGTATTAATCTTACATTATTTCTGATCCCATAGCTTTTTACGGCGATTATTACGTATATTATGATTTTAGTGCAATTTACAGACATTGAAAACTCCTTAAAATCAAAAAATTGAGAACAAAAAAAAACACTAAACTATTGTGTAATGTGTAATTTTTATTCAAATACCACCATCGTTGGTTTGAACAATAATTCATGTCGAATTTAAAGAAGATATCTTAGCAAATATAAAAGTTTTCCATACAAGAGTTTTATTTTAAGCGATCAGTTTGTATGGCAGCTATATGCTATAGTAATCCGATATCGGCGATACCGACCAATGAACAGCTTCCTGGGGTGAAAAAGACGTGTGCAAATTTTCTGAACGATATGTCAGAACTGAGGGACTAATTTCCGTATATACAGACGATATATATGTATGTGCATATGTATACACTTTATAGGATCTTTGACGTTTCCTTTTAGGTGTTACAAACTTCGTGACAAATTTATTATATCCTGTTCAGGCATAAATATAAATATTATATATTAAACATATTATCAAAAAAACTTTTTTATAAATAAGTACTCAAAGATAATTGCAAAATGTATTAAAGGGCATTTAGAAGCATCATTTATCAAAACAACATTATTTATCAGACTCAAAACACGGTATAAATTATTTGTATCATGGGTATTTACTAAACGACATTAGCAGTCACTTGAACTGTTTAACTTTACTACCAGATTTAATTTTTTTTTTGTTCATTTCCTAAATTCAATTTCTTAAAATAGTGAATATATGTATATATCTTTTGCAAATATATATTAAACTGTAATTTTAAATATCAAATATTTGTACTAACATAATAATTATTATTGATACTAATCCAGTGTCGAGTTCACAGATGTAGGTATGAAAAACAGTGTGGCAAATGAATAAGAAAATTGCAGTAAATGAAAGTTTTTCGCAGTAAGGCAGCAGATTGTAGGTTTGAGGTCTTACGATTGCAGGAAGGGTGGGAAAAATGGACACAGGTAAACTACATTAACTACAACAAACAAAAAAAAGTTATGTATACAACTCTGTACTAACCCTCCTAGAACTGGGACGATTATCTGATATATACAAATATTATACAAGTATAAACCAAGTACAAGTACCGAAATAAATGTGACATCAAAATCCCAATAAGCTTCACTTCGTTCATGAAGTACTCTTATTTTTTTTCTTTTCTTTCTCAATAATCAAGACAACTATTCATAATATTATCTTTTAAGTATCATAAGTAAATCACTACTTACCGTATCATAAGTGAGACAACCAGCAGTTTTAGACTTGGAATTTTTTCGCCATTTCCTGTATTCAGCCTTGATAACGGTGGTTTGACGTTTCCAATATTTTCCTTCTAATACAACCGCCTGCAATAAGAAAATATTAACTTTAATTATACAATTTAAGTTCAATTGTCCCAAGAACTATTATTCATATAATATGAGCAAGCATTAAATAAAAAAGAAATAAATTAACATTTTAATATAGTGCAGAGATCGTATATTGAACAACACGTGACCTTGGCATTTTCGGGGTGCGTATAGCACTGCTTCTTATCTGAGTTTCATTTTGATCCGCACTTATTTCGACAGTGGCTACACAATCCAAAAAGAAATGCTCCTGATTTTTAATTTCGAAAATTGAAATGATTGATATGAATTTATGATAGACAATGAACCGAATGACAGATCGATGGTTTCACGATCGTGCTTGTGTATGTACGAGTATTAACAAAAATTATGTGTATGAATATATGTACTTATGTATATACAAATGATTTTAAGCACTTGCCTGCGGGTTGCTATGGATGTCAACGTCCAATGGTGATGCAAACTGGCACACGGGTGTCCTACGCTTCAGTATGACTGCAAAGAGATAACAAATGTGGTATATGGAGTTAAATCACAAACGTCTAAGCCAGTAATAATCTCGCACAGTATTACGATTGCTATGAGTATGATTAGAAACGTTTTTCATAATGTATAAGTATACGTACTTAAGACTACTAAATTGTATGTTTATATTATACTTTTTTCGTACAAAGTAGATATTTATAATGCTCGTACTTCAAGTGACACGATAACTAACATAAAACTACAGTGATGAGCAAATTTAATAGCTGTTTTTAGGTTAAGATATATAGTAATATTTTTGCTGGCATAGATGTAGAAATAAGAATAAAAATGCATATATTTATGCATGTATATTTGTATATAATTGTTTATATGAAGAATTATATCTTTATGCCATGTAATAACATAATATTTAATTAAGACTAAAGCAGATTGTTTTGGTGAAACTCCCAATAATCTTTCTGGAAAAAATGGTTATTATTATTAGCGACACGAGTCCGACAACTTGAGTCGAACAATTTTCGGCATTTTCTTTCATATCAGTTTCTCAAATTCTTGTACGCTTAATGTAAGTTTTATCCTTATTCACCCTTTTCTGAAACATTTCTTTTATTTTATGCATATTTGCATAACACATACAAAAAAAAGATAATAAAATTTTAAATTCAGAACATTATACAAATATTCATTTAAAAGAGAGTACCATTACAACCAGTAGAAGGTAAAGAAATGTCGAATTTCGTAGCAGCGAATTGATACGAACAAGAACGCAAACCGTGCCACCTGAGCACGAGCGACACGGTTCCTTCATTTTTCCTTGTCGGCCCCTCGCCTACGGTTTGGGCGACAAAAGAGTCCTTGTAAATACAGTCCTACCAAAACAAAGAAATAATCTTATGCTGCAATAAAATTTTATGCTATTCTCCGCAAAGTAAAAAAAGTGGTAATAACATTAGCTTTTGAAGAACGGTAACTGTACTCTCTTCTGACTTTTAATAACCTAGTCTATATGTTAATATTTCAGAATTTAATGTCAATTCTTGCAAATATTAATGAAATTAAAATGTCATATTGCACTTACGATTTGATTTTGCCGCCGAAATGCCGTGATTATACTAAATTTATTTTGTAATCATAGATTTTCACTGGACCGAAATTTATTCCCACTCTAGTGAGTAGTAGCCGTTTAAAAATTTAATTTCCCTGGGTTGGGAAATGTTATAGAGAAAATAGTTCTAGAACAAATATAAACTGGGTATATATTGGGAACAATATCGTATTCATGTTCTCATCTGATTTCATAGCCACCTTTAAGAACTTCTTGTGAGGAGATTCATTTTACAAATTAGTTTAATTGTCGTTATTATTCATTTGGGTAATTTAAATTTGTAATAGATACTGAAACTGCTTAGATAAAAGAAAAATAGTTCGATTAACAGCAAATAAAATGAGAAATATTTCAAAACAAGAAAAAACGTTAACTTCGGTTGCATTCACAGAACTTGATTCCGATCGTTAAATTTGTATGGCAGCTATATGATATAGTAATCTGATCCGAACAATTTCTTCGGAGATTACATTGTTGGCTTAGACAATAACTCATGCCTAATATCGTGAAGATACCTCGTCAAATGAAAAAGTTTTCCATACTATTACGATCGTTCAGTTTGTATGGCAGCTATATGCTATAGTGGTCCGATATCGTTCCGACAAATGAGCAGCTTCTTAGTGAGAAAAAGACAGGATTTAGATTTATTTATTTATTTCAGATCGATAACTCAAAAACTGAGCTAGTCCCTAAGTCCTTTGTATATATACAGACAGGCGGACAGACAGACGGACATGGCTAAATTAACCCAGCTAATCATGCTGATCATTTATGTATATATTTTATAGGGTCTCCAACGTTTCCTTCTGGGTGATACAAACTTCGTGGCAAACTTAATATACCCTGTTAAGGGTATAAATAAACTAGGTGAAAAAGTGGTATTGTATCTCAATAATAAATTATTTCATATATTGTACACAACACTGTACTTGTATATATAGTTGTACATAAACAGCTAGAGTTTTAACAGCAAAACTTGAATTTACACAATGAGTAGCTCTAAAATTCTATTTCATCGCAGCGATAGGAAAATTACAACTAACTAAAAACAAATCGGCGTAAAAAATGTTATAGTGCATTTACAAAGTGTGTTGCTTTTACGTCAACTCAGTGCGCTGCAACGCATAATAAATAATGGGTGTTTCCTGGAAACCAACTCTTTTAACCACTTTTCTTAACTATGTATTGCTACAACATTGTTAAACATCTAACAAAGTTACAGAATAAGTTTTGAAATAACAAACATTTTTATAACTGTAATTCGATAGATATGCTTGAGAGAGCTTTGCAGCTATCTGGAAAATCTTTATTAGTTAAAATTGCTAAAAAATTTGGTATTTATAGAGTTGTTTTTGACATAATTAGTTTCGCCTAGAAAAAAGTCTGGTTGCGTTTAGATACATATGTATATCAAATTGGCTAATTCATTGGATTAATTCATATTAAAAAAAATGTGAAAAAAGTATATCTTATATTTTTTAGGTGAATGCACTTGGTTGCGAAATTTTGCGTATTTTAATGTTGCTTTAAATATTATATAACTATTTACGGTTATTTGATATTTTCCGTTGATTTGATATTTTCCGATTTACACCCTAAACAGGGTATGTTAAGTTTGCTAGGAAGTTTGTAACACCCAGCAGGAAACGTCCATCAATAAAATATATATGTATGTATATAAATGATGACGAGCTAAGTCGATTTAGCCACGCACTTCTGTCTGTCCGTTTCTCAGCTCGTATGTCTATATAATCTGTCTGCATATTTGCACACGTCCTGTCATTCCCAAGAAGCTGCCCATTTGTCAGATCCACGGATATGGGACCACTATAGCATATAGCTGCCATACAAACTGAACGATCAAAATCATGCTTGTTTATGAAATAATTTTTTATATAACGAGATAGCTTCACGAAATTGGGCACATATTATTATTTAAGGCAACGGTATAATCTCCGAAGAAGCTATTCAGATCGGACAAATATAGCATATGGCTCCCACAGAAACTGACGGATCAAATTCAAGTTTAAAAGGGAATCTTTTGCATTTTTTAAGGGTATGTTTTTATGTTCTGACATAGCTTAAAAGAAACTATGTCGCGGGAGGATACGTCAGGTGATAATGATGCACTGTAATCGAAGTTAACGTTTTTTTTATTTTTATTTTTATTATAAATATGCCATATATACCTATATGGCGGCAATCAGTTCTTTTCGCTTTATTTTAACAAGTATTAAAGTACGAGATTTACCTGTTACCTTGATTTTTAAAGATTTTGCAAACGAAAATGCAAATTACACGCGTAAATGCAAATTTAAATTATGCATTCTGCGAAACCAGAGTGATTTGGGCAATGGACGGAACAGGATGTTGATAAAATACGCTTTTCTGGTGAGCCAGAATAAATAGCCATATTTACCTCAATATTTCCACACAAATACTAAAGCTTTTACTTTTTGGCCGTCATATTTTTATCATTTCCTTCTTTCCATTTTGAGTGTTTGTTAAATCAGTTTATCTAAATGGGTATAAGAGCTGCCTGCCAGGGGTAAAAATCATATTTGTATACATTTCTCTTAAAGCAGATTACCTCAGTCTGCGTATATCGGCTATATAATGATTCGTATGAATACGCTATTAAAACAACGTTTGTAAAAATGTAACTTTTTTTTAAAGGAAAATATATGATATGATAAAAATTTGTATGCTTAGGGCTAAAAAATTTCACTTGATTAAAAAAAAAAACACAATACTATAACTATAATATTAGATATGCCAACATTTAGATATATGTATATAGGATCATGTATGTATATAGAAATATATGTGAATTTGTTTGTGTGTGCAAATACATCTATGTTTCTTGTTATCGTCTATCTCGTGTCAAAATGTTACACAACGATAAACAATGCTGATAAAAACATAAGATATTTAGCTAGCAGATTAGGGGAAAAATTCATTTGGTTTTATCAAAAGCATTATTTACAATAATTACTTAATATCATACACATTCAAAATATATACCCTGGTAGGATTTGCGTTATTATTATCAGTGCAAATAAAGAATAAAGATATTTACATAAATTTTGCTCTTTATTTTTGCAAAACAACTTTATTTATATACATGTATGTAAGTATAAATATTATAACTCACATTGCATGTGCCAGCATCGCCAAATTACATTGTTTAAGCGAATTTTGTCCTTCCAGCGCAATCGAATTCCTTTGAAATGATTCCATTTTGGGGATGTTAATTTTTGACTGAAAATGAAAAAGTGTTTTGAAAATTTAGGTATATAATTTCATATATAACGAATTAGACATTAGACACTACACGAAAATTTTTGAAAACTTGTACAAACTAATTATAAAAAGAACGTCATCCAAAAACCTTACAAGGAGCGGGCAATTTCAAATTTTAAGAGAAAACTTTGTATCAGAGATGAAGAGATATTTAACTTATTCCGGTGTGTTAGTGCCTCAAAAATTGAATTTTTTATAGCTTTTTGCATTTAGGGCCGATCGCTGAAAATAGTAATTTTTCGACATTTAAAGATCACAAGGCTCGAAACCGAATTGCACAAAACACGGTTTAAACACAATAGATCAGTGCAGAAGCCTTTGAAAATGGTAAAAAGTGTAAGAAATTGATAATAGGCTGAAAGGTAAATTAATTTACAGGCGATCTGAGCTCGTAAAGAGGAAGGGAAAGAGCGTGGTTGAATTTTTAAGGGTTAAAAACGGTTTATCATTATATTTCCGGCAAAATTACGAGTCCAATAGCAAAAAGTTACATAGCAAAGTTGTAGGTAAAGAAAAGAGCTATAATTTTTAAACCAATATCTTTTTCATATAACCTCAAAAACTATGTGAAAAATTAAAATATCCAAGTTTTTGGGTTTTTTATTTTTATCTTTTACAAAAATTCTTTCACGAAATTTGGTATAAACTTAACATCTTATCACACAAACACACTGTATTTTTTTAAATTTAAAATATTAAGGGGGACTTAATATCAAAAATTTTTTAATTTAAAGTATTATGGGGGACTTAATATTGAAAAACATCCTAATTTTCAATCAAAAATTCTCAAGTCAAAATATCCGATTTTTTAAAGTCAGTAAGCTTTATGTTTGTTGAAGTCCATGATTCAATTATATACCAACTATGTTGCTTCGGAGCGTCAAAACTACTTTTTTTGTTTTTTCATAAATTTTTTGTTTACATATTTTTAATGATGATTTGAATCATAAAAGCAAAACAAAACAAAACGGCTGATTTTGACATTATGATTTAAGGGGGGAAACCAGTTTAGATGATTCCAACAATCGATTTTTTTATTGCATAAATTGTTAGTAGAATTATTCAAGAATATGTTGCTTAAGTTTCAAAATGAAATTTAAATTATTTCCGATGATATGAGCACTAAGGTAAACACCGATCGATTCAGTGCCGTAGCGCACTTTTTTTTCAAATGCGTTTTTCTCGAAATGACTTTTTTTCAACTTGCGAGAATCCTAGCTTGAGAATTTATTGACGAATTGATTTGAAAATTTGTGTAAATATCCTTTATTCAAGTCCAAAAAATATGAACCAAACTGAATGATATTATTATTAAGGGTGAAAAAAATGATATAAAAACATAGAATTTTGTTCAAAAACCTCCAAAAAACTGATTTTCAACTCTGTTGGCCAGAATTCGGTTCATATTCTTAGAAAATATGTTACTAACTAAAGAAAAAAAATTAATGATTTTAGATCAAAACTGTGACCTCCAGGTGTCCCGCCAGCAGTCAACTCTGATGGCGATCGTCAATGGACACCACCATCTAACTCCACCACTTCCGGCGGAAATGACATTGAAAAATTTAGAAGTGTAGTTCAAAATAGGAATAAACTACCTTGCAAGTTTAAATGAATTCTAAGTATTATTTTTCAGTTAAAAAAAATCACAAAAAACACTCGAAGTTCGGCTTGTGATGGAATAAAAACATATACATTATTATAGTAAATTCTCAGAAAATGCAAAAAAAATACCACACTTTCCCCATATCTGTGATATGTGAGTTGTATATACAAGGCGTGTCATAAAAATAACCGAACTTATTATATATAAAATTAAACGAACATTATATTATCTTCGAAAGTTATTATTTAATTAAAATATGTTCTATTATACCAGTACAGTGTTTGGAACGATCAACCAGCGGATGCAAAGATTTTTCTTGTCATTTATTGGAATGTTTTTTAGCACCTTAGTTACGGCTCAGAGGAGATTGGTATTGCAGATGGGCAAAATCAAATCGTTAAGCGAAAATGAAAATGCAGTTTAACGCCAAAAATTAAGGCAACCAGCATAGACATTCTCCTAAGTATTATATATGACGAACCCAATATATAATATGTAGGTAGAAATGTTGCCTTAGACATAATGTAGTTTGGTGCTGAATATGACTGAAGCCGGTAAGTAATAGAATGAATTTTTCTCCATATATATACCCAATATATTAAATTTGGTCCCTTTGACTATGTTTAAATCGCATAAATCTCAATAGAGGATGTCTCAATAAAATAAGGGAGTGTTCTAGTGGAGAAATGGGAAAAAACCATTTTTGTTCATATTTTATTAACCTTTCAATATTATTTCCGTTGATATAACTATTTTTGTGGCATGACATTCAAACCGTCACAACCAAATCGACACTAGGTGTAAGTTTTACTCGAAACTTTAAATGCGATTTCTGGAAAGTACTTATTTTAAAAAGGTTTGGCTTTTTTTTACTAGTTATACTTATTCGATTTACTTAAAATTCAGAATAGTTAAAAAATAGTAAATTTGTAATTGTTTTTTCGAACATCCGCAATTTAGTGAATAAATCGTTTTAATTAGTGCTAAAGCAGCATATATCTAGATAAATATCCTATGCATTTCAGATAATTTTGAGGGTTGCAATCGTAATAGATATATGATATATGTTCTCTAAATTTCAATAAAATACCTTACATGTTGACAGATATACGAGTATGTATACAGTATAAAGTCAACCGATATATACTGTATAAAGTATCCATTTTATGCATAAGGACCCACTGCTCACAGAAAGAGACGCTCGCTGAGTTTGAATTCGAAGGTAACTGCCATATATAATATATATAGGGTATAAAGTCAAACGGAAGTTCAAAAATCTCTATATTAGGAAGTATTGACCAGAAATTACCCATTTCTGACACAAAGGCACAATATTGTTGAGAAAATATGCTCTCTGAATTTCATTTCGGGTAAAAGTCATAGATACATGGATCCACGTATACGATATCTGGGGTATTAAAAAGTTATTGTCTCATTTCGATCAATTTCAGACTTGGCATATTTTAAGGGTTCAATATAGTCTTTCATCTAAAGGTCAAAAGGGTTTTGACACCGGCTCCTATTACGCCCTTGAGTATCATGTAAGATGTGAAATTTAATGCTTCTGCTTTAGAAGTGTGTAATATATGTACTTTAATCTTATTTGGGAACGGGTCCAAGCCCGCTTTCACACTGCACATTTCAAGGCTTTCAGAGTTTTGTATCTTAAGGGGGTATTCTTGTGTAGAATTTTCAAAAAAATCGATTTTTCATATTTTCAAAGTTTAACTATTTAAGAATATGTCTACGAGCGGATTTTTGAAAATTTAAATTATTTTCTAATCGAACAAAAGATTTTACGCGAAACTTTAATTGCGTTTTTTTCAGACCAAACTTTTTCAATATGAAACCCACTATTTCTCGAGTTCTGCTGGACCGATTTACTTGAAATTTTTTAAAGAATCTTCTCTATAGACCTCTCTCGAGTATGAACTCATCCCAAATTTTACAATTTTTAAAAAATACGTGAAAATAAAAAAAGGTAAAAAAAATCGTTTTTATTTTCAAGCCGTCGCCATTTCGCCAAATTTTTTTTACTTATCGCTACTTCATATAATTGCGACATCATTGCAGATTGATAATCTTTTTTTTTTTCATTTCAGATGACTAGGAGGGTTGAAATCATGGGTATATTCATGTGCCAATTTTTTGAGACCCCCCAATTCATCAGCTTACAGGTAAAAAAATTTACATTTTTATCTTTTTTTGTTTTTTTTTAATTTTTCTGTACTATTGTAACAATAATAAATAACTGATAAAAAAAATCGATGGTAAAAATATTGATTGCTTTTTTTTAAGGACACTGTCTCTAGACTAGAATACCTCCTTTAATTTGGAGCTTAATCATGGCATTTTATAGGTTTTTAACGGCATTTCGTGGGAGTGGCAGTAGACCGATTACAGCCATCTGCAATATCTAACTATTTATGATGCCAGGGAACTCATGTACCAAGTTTCATCAATATATGTTATGTCTTAATTAAGTTACAATTTGCGCGGACCAACGGACAGATAGTCAACCGGAGTTCAACTCGTTTCGTCATTGTGATCATTTACTATATAAGCATGTATGTACATACATATGTATGTATAACTCGATTAGTTCTAACTGTTACACACAATCGTCAGGTGAACAAAACCACTATATTCCCAGTTGCGAGAGTATAAAAATGCATATTCAGCAATTTACTGCTAATACCAAGTAAATTTCTGTGGAAATCAAGAAAAAAATTGTTGGCTAACCAACGGTGTTTAAAGTTGAGGTTACGCATTACGTACCTTCTGGACAAACGACAACATTTACGAAATGTATTTTTTTGTTGTTAATTTTTATCATTAGAATTCATACCCGTGTTTATAGAACTTTGGTTTTTAACGTCAATATGTATTTATATCAGCACGAAATATGCGAACACGTTGCGTCGAAGGCAATTAACGTTATTCTAAAAGGTCAGACAAAGAAATATTTACCTGTTTCAATTTACAACTAATCTTCAACGAGACAACAATAGAATGATTTTATTGATTTTTCAATAATATAGGCCACTATTATTTGGTTCAAATAAATAAAAACAAGTTTCAATGGGTTTGTGAACAGATGCATTATATCAGAAAAAAGTGACAAAATAAAAGTATAATAACTTGTAGTGCCGCCAGGTGCTGGCGGGAAAAGTCTTCACTATATATCTTTATACCCTGAACAGGGTATATTAAATTTGCCACGAAGTTTGTAACACGCAGAAGGAAACGTCGCAGACCCTATATAATGTAGGTATATATAAACATCAGTATGATGAGCTGAATCGATTTAACTATGCCTGTATATAATTGAATTAGTCCCTCAGTTTTTTAGATATATATCTGAAATTATACTCACCTCCTTTTCTCTCCAAGAAGCTGCTCATTTGTTGAAGGTACCGATATCGAAACACTATAGAATATAGCCTCCATACAAACTAATCGATCAAAAACCAGTTCTGGTATGGAAAACTTTTTCATTTGCGAAGATATCTTTACAAAATTTGGCATAGATTAATACCCAAGGTAATTCTACAATCTGCGCAAAAATTCAGATATTGTGTGATATGTTTGACTTTTGTGGAGGGTATGTTAGCTTCGGTGCAATCGAAGTTTACGTTTTTTCTTGTTTTTGTTAATGGTTATATATATATATAATTTTTATAAAGCGATTGAAAGGTGAAGAATTCTCAAAATATAGTGGTTAAATAGCCGACGGTTTAGTCCAACACACTTCATCAATTAAATTAGTTTTAGCATAAATTACTATAAGAGATATCACATAATGATGTCTGCGGTTGAAAAAGAAGTTGCCAACTGATTAAAATTTCGACAGTCACTTTTAGATAACCTAATACACGTGCCTGATATTGTATAGATAGAAAAAATCGGCAAGCACGTTCTACAATATACCGTATGTTTGCAGCACTCATAATTCGATAAAGGGAGGTGATATCAACACTTTGTTGGACGCTTGCTTTATGATTTTTAATTGGGAATTGTGAATTAATTACAATATTTTATAATTTCACACATATACTATTATATTATATTTGATACACATGTACAAAAATTTTCCATCAGTCTCATTAACTATTAAGGTTTAACTGATTATTTAATTATGCTCAACGTGTGATTGGAAAGAAATTATTTAATTGTTTTAAATCTTTCATAAAACAGCTATTACAGTAGGCTTAGACTACGATACGCTACTAAGGAAAGAATGAGAAAAGTAAGCTTGAAAACATTGTCAAACTTTCATAGTAGTTCTAAACAATACTACAAGGGTAAGAAGGTCTTTGAACTAACAATTCGGATTATTGTTGATTTCGACCCAATAGGAGATAATATTGTCAATGGATTGTTGTACCATGCTCGAATAGTTGATGAAAACAATGCCATGTGAATACCAAAAAATACTGCCTAAACATTACCGGGCGACTGTTTTGTTTTCGGCCGTTTTCGAAAAGTCGTCCGACTTTCACCGGAACTCGTTATTGCATAATTTATGCTAGGCGACGAAATTTAGGAAACCAATACACCATCGTTGAATATCCTGGGCCTTATTAAGCCATTGCCTTGTCATTGCATCGACGGTGTTTTTGCCTTTAGGAAAATCTATAACTTGTGGACGACTACATGAAATGTCATGGAATTTAGTCATCATTTCAGTTAAGATTAGTACGCTCAAGTATATAGATTAGGTATATAAAGTAATCATCAATGTCAAACAAATGTGGTAATTATCCGGCATTTGGCAACCTAACAGTAGGATATTGTACTTTTGGGAATGTCTTCCATTTCGCTGTTACTGGACACGATCGGCTGGCTGTAACATTCCATGTGCGGTTTGTTGGACATATTTTATGAAAATGTATTAAACGGAGTATTATATGATGATGATGGTATATGTCGCGCAAGCGATATTTTCGGAGAATATTATAGCTAAAGTTAGTGTTGAGTGTGGAGGTAAAGAGGTAGTTAATGAATCAACTGGTTTGGGGGTGACGGTCGTACATATAGGATGTGTGATTAAGTTGGGTGCTGTTTTTGTTGAAAGAAGTAGTGTGAAGACTACGTTGTGGTGCTGGTCACGGGTGCTGACAAATTAGGAGCTTGGAAGTGGCACCCGCCTGCATTGAATGAGGTGGCGTGCCGTTTTCATATATATACCGACTATCGACCATACAAGTACATGCGGTTCGAGCCGGGTGTTGGTAAAAGTTTCAGCAATTCTGTTCTTGCCTAAGTGGTGCGTATAGCAGGCAGGTCAGGTGAATTTGATGGTTGGGAGAGAAAGCAGGTGTTGGTTGAGCAAAGACTATCGAGTAGTGTTGTAGGGTTATACATCCATGCATTGGCAGACCTATTGGCGTAACAGCATCGTGCTATACAATTTTGTGACATTGCTTGTGAATTTTTAGGCCCTTCAGCTGTAAGGTCTTGCGTTTTGTTCAATCCCACGGGAGGTATTAGTAAGTAGACGGCAGTGCCTGAAGATATTAGAGGGAGAGCGTGGTTTGAAGGGAGATTGGGATGTTCTTGTCCTGGAATCTTTCCATTCTCTTTCCATGGTGTTTTGTTCTTCTTTTAAGTACAAAAAGGCGTATATTTTTTTAGCGTTAATAAAACATTCTCAAATTTTTGTATCCTACACCAAATCATGATTTTGAACAATAAATGATCATTGTAATTTTTACTATTTTTCGCTAACTAATCATTTATTTTGTTTTTTATAAACGTTAGCTAAAATAATAATCGTACACATGTGTACAATGTCTACATTATTTTACTATTCCAACTTAAAAAGTTACATGCATTGGACACATGGAAGTTCTTTCAACCGCGCAAACGAAGAATTCTTGAAATTCAAAGCTTGAAAATAATCGATGTACCTTCAATTTGCGTTTTCATATTTCGCTTATGTATGCATATATATTTACATATGTATATATGTCTGCGGGAAGCAACCTAAAACCATAATCAAGCTTTTTCGAGTGCTAATAATAAGACCTTATATTTATAAATGCAATGTTTATGCACATATTCATACATATATACATACACACATATGTATGTACATTTCTCAAGCGCTCTTACCGGGTTTATTTAAGGGAATAAACCGAGTAAGTTTATAAATATACATATACTTATGTATGTATGTGTTGCATTTCCACAAGCAATTTATTACCGTTTTTGCTCAGAGTTAATTATTGAGTAAGCTAAATATGTCTTACTTTACTTGTAGTTAATGTATTATTCCTAATTTCGCTTCCGTCTTTGAATTTAAAACTGATTTGTAAATAAAGTTTCAAAAAATCCGTTTTAACATATAATCATATGTACATCACACTAGAGTACTACATAAATGTATTATCAGAAAATAATATAAATTTAAACTAAATATTTATGCTTTTTTACATACCTGTAAGCGAGATTCATACATTTGAATAATTTGGTGAGTGAAGTCTCTATTTCCAAATGAGAGGCCACTACTGATCCTTCTTGACCAAGCTCTTGAACATATGATATTTTTCGTGGTACAAAACGCTGCACATCAGTGCTTGTATTTTCAACATCCTCTGTTTTTGTAAGATTTATTTCTTCAGGATCAAGCATTTTCACTTCATCATCCTCTTCGAGATCATCTTCTTGTGCCTCTTCCGCTTCAAAATGAGAAACCATAAATTGGCCAGAGTGTATAGATTCTCGTTCTGATTTGGAAATATTATAAGGCATAGCTCCATAATCAGAAAGACCAGCGTCGCTTTTCGCCATGTTTGTAGTAATATCACCGCAGCTTTGTTGTTGTTGTTGTTCTTGCACAATTTGCTGATGGTTTTGGTGTTGTTGCAAATAATTCTGATATTTATTTAACATCATTCTGTCTTCTTATCTACGGCGCGAACTCTCATTGATTTACGCGTGTCCAATACGACCAATAATTTATACTTATGCTTCTATGCCAGTTCTATTAATTAAATTTTTATTATTTCATCTGAATTGATCTTCATCCAATTACTATAAAATTGATAAAGACGCGCGCTCTGTAATCACGGCTCACTAATAACCAATAAAGGTTTGAACACTTTGCAAAAATGTATCAAAAGCGATTGATTTGTTTGATTATAAAGCCTAACAATTGTTAAGATGTTAACTTTTACTACCAGCAAGTTCGAAAACTTTGATGATAACACCCGATCCAACTTTAAACTGTACGGTCACATATAATATCTTTTCCATGACATACACCTCGTCAATACAGTCAAAACAGTGATAGCGATTTTGATCCCAACAATATTCGTCGTTCTATAAGTGTTTGCTCTTATCTGCGAAGTAGGTATTCACATTGGGAAACAATTCAAATGCTCTTTCACACTCTTTCAAATCTCTTGCTGCCCTGTTCAATGACTCTCAATACCACACACTAAGGCAATATTTATTCATTATATTTATTTGAAGCTTTGTTTTGTCAGTTACTTGTGTACAAATACACTCATAATTGCTTATTATTAATTTTAACAATGTAGTACAAATTTACTACTAGATAGGGAGTAATTACAATATATTTAATGAGATAACACCAATACTATTGTTTACTGTTGCAATAAATATGGACTTATTTTCGCACAAAAAAATAAATTGTTTCTTTTTTTTAGTTCTTCAAAGCACTAAAACATCTAACCATAATAGTGTTGTTTGGACTACTATAAATAACACGAATTGATATAATTTTCAAATTTTAATTAACAAATTTGCCATGTGCTATACGCATCTACATGGATGTAATCAGTACGGCAGTTCATCTTGGTGTAACAACCAAATTTATGTTTGAAATGAGAGGAAAATTCCACTAATGTAACACTGCTAGCCTTGATTCCACTCAATGTATTTGTTTTTACTATGATGAATTCCAAATTGTTGTAGATTATATTTAAACACGTATATTTCTACACATGTATAAACAAATCAAGATTTTAAGAATTCAATAGGTTGTTATCTGAATGACGCACATATGCTCATGATTCCGTTAATATATTTTATATACTAAGAATACTCTATAAAATAGATATAAATTATACTCTCATAAGTGAACTGTGATAGCATGGAAAATATTATTTTTCCCATCGAGTAATTCACATTGCATAGAGGATATCGAACAATATGAAGTTGATAACATTTTAGATGAGTTTGCTCTTCGTTTATTTTAATGTGTTGTTTTATTCGTTCACTATTGGTTAAGTGTTTGCTTCATTGTGTGTCGTACGGCCAGTGGAACTAGGAAGATGAGATCTTATGTTGATAAATGACCTGTTATTATGTTGGTGAAGTACATTGAACAGCGGGCGGTGACGTAGCTGGCGAGATGTATATTTTTTACAAAAAGTTTAGATTGCCTTTTATTACGATGTGATCTTATTTTCTTGCAAAAGAAATTATTTTAAATTATGTATTTCTAAATAGACGAGCACGAAATTTCCTACGTATATTCGCACTTGAATTCACGTATGTTCTTTCACTTGAATAATACAACTATTATTATTATCAAAAATTGTCTGAGCCATATACATATTGCTGTCAAAAAATTCACCACAAAAAGCAAGTTGTCAAAAATAGAACATCTCGCTGCAAACTGATAAAACAGCAGTTCTCTATTATCCCTCAGTTTTTCGACAAACTGCTAACAGTGGCGGCAATGCCATTAGTAAGATCAGAGTATCTCTTAAACCGCTTAACTTTAAAGTTAGCGAAACGAGTTTTGCTTCGGAAAAGAAACTTTTTTTTTATTTTTCTTCCTTCTGAAGTCATACAAAAGTGTCGAAATCATTCTTAGTTAAGATAATAATATAATACAGTCAATAACAGTTTCGTTTCGTTTCGTAGCGTTTTTAGATTGCGTTTATTAAGAAAAGGCAAAAAAAGCGAATGAGAATTTGTTAAAGCACTTTAAGATACTTGCACTTGTTAGAGCTGCTGAACACAGCACTTTTTACAATGAACAGTTAGTTCGGAAACTTAGCTCACTATTTCTAAGGAGAGCTTGTGTATTATTTTCCTGACCTTTAGAATAAATTAGAAAAGCACTCCAAAAGATACCGGAAAGAAATATTATTAAACTCTATTTTTATCTGCGTCCCCAATATATAATGATGTAATTATGAAACATGTGGCAATACCGCACAATAATTATTCGATGGTGTAATTCGCCATATTGTTTTTCGATAGTATATGAATGTTTCGATGACCATTTCTCTTTCAGTATCATTTTCCTCAATGAAACCGAAAAAACGTAAAGTGTTAAGTTCCGAGTATTTTGCATTTATATTGAGGTGAAAATGGATTTCTAGTTTGTTTGCGTAAGCACAAACCAAGCACTTTGGTGCACAAAAGTTCTCAGCGAAAATGATTTTAAAACAAACGTAAGTAAAACAAAAATTTAGTTGAATTTTGCTACAATGCATATGTACATATGTATGTATGTATGAATGTTTGAAAGCCCATCGCCATGTTGTTGCGACGTTTTGTATATGGTGCATTACGATTTGTGGCATTAAATATCAGGGAATTGTTATTGTAAATATTTGACAGAGTTAGTTAAGAGATGTAATTAAAATATATTATTTTAATATAGAAAAATTCACTGATGTAATATTAAATGATATTGCGAAATCACAATGCACATTTAATTTGTATGCGTTGCGGAAATAGCAGTCAGTAGGGTTGCCAATATGTGATGCTTGTTTTAGGAAAATATAAAGCGCAACTTGGCTGAAGTGGTAAATTACAGTTGACATGCGCGTATTACTAATATATATAAAATTATCAAAGACGTATTGCGGTTTTACCCTGCTAGGCAATTATCGGTTTAATCATACGTTGATTATCTGAGAGCGATATCGGCGATTTCTGTTCCAAGTTTCTGAGTTTTCTGATACTGCATTGACAAAACTAACCGAAACTATTGTGAGCATTGTGAGTATAGTTTGTTGCCAAACCAATTCCAAGAGAAACAATGTTGTCTCTTTTGATTGTAGTAGTTGGATGGGTAATAACTTGCGGAGCAGGGAAAAAAGCTTCCCACAGCGCATTTAATGTTTTTACGATGAAACTCTGGTTATTGTTTGTTTACAATTTGATCCAAATTAAGATTTTATTATACGGTCGCAACATGTTACAACAGAGTATAATAAATGTTTTTCTGGTAACAATATGTCGTGATGCAAAAATGGGGTTAACACTCCCATAGCCCCCTTTAACCTAAAATACGAAATTCAAACTTTCGGTTGGCTTTATACCGTATAGATCGGTATATATGTAAGAGCAACTCAAATATGTAAAAGTTAAAATAAAACCAATTTCAAATAAATTTCCTAACTATTATGATTCGAAGGTAACATTTTATTATTTTTAATTAGTAATTATGTTTTTTAACCGCGTTGTATAAAATTTAATATTTGTTATCGACATTTTATTTTCATTCAGGTTTTATATACATCTCTAAATATCGAAATATAACAGCTGATAAAATCTGCTCGCTTTCAATTGAGAGATTTTTGTGACTGTCGCGTACTGAATCGTAAAATGGTATCAAGTAACAAAAAATTTCTAATTTTAAAGCTCAAATTGAGAGAGTTGAGACTATCAAGGTACTGAATTCTGATATAACTCTTCTTTTTAATGCGTGAAATCGGTCTACGAATTACCCTCAGCTCCCTTATACCACATACATACATTACAACATTAAGCGTAGGACACTTTACACTTTACTAAATTGCACAATTATTGGTTCAATTCACAAGGGAATCAATTAACCGATACTCGTTTAATTGAACGATTCGTTCAAGTACAGGAAACCCGCCTAATTGGACAACCTAATCAATTAAAAAATCATGTGCCCTTTGAGTGTTTTTTTTTAGCTTCTTGTAATGATATTTAAATAATATTTTGAACTTTGAACGGAATTTGAGAAACAAAATTGTCTTCACTGGAGAAACTCGTAGCAGCAGGGTTGCTCGCGTCCTCCTGAACCTCGACAGACAAGACCAAATGATGTGTTACCTGACGGTTGCGATAAATACCAAAATAGCGCGCGCCACTTTCACCAATGAGGAGTTTCGGAGTGTCATCAACAAGGCAAAATATTCCACATCCATTGGACCTGATGGAATTAATATGCTGATACTAAAGCACCTAGGCTCGACGGGAGTGGGTTTTTCAACCAAGGTCCTCAACCTGTGGCTGACTACTCTTCAAATACCCGATGTGCGGAAAGACGGGGAGTGGTCCCACTACTAAAACTTGGGAAACGCTCCAACAAATGGGAAACTTATCGTCCGATAACTCTCTTTTCCCCACTAGTGAAGACACTTGAGACGTTGCTACTCCCGACATTCACCCCCCACCTGAGCCTAGCAGACCATCAACATGGCTTCCGAAAAGTTCACAGCACCATACATCACTTAGCGTCATAAACGCCCAGATATTTCATGGCCTATACCAGATGCCACCCTGTGAGAGCACGAACCTCGTAGGGTTGGATTTGTCTTTTGAAACAGTCAACCACCTAAGGCTACTTGAGGACATCGAACAATACAAGCTCCCACCAGGGTTAAATCGGTGGACTAAGAACTACCTGAGCGTCGACAATCATCCGTACGTCGGGCAATGGAATCGATGGCATGTGCTCAAAAGTAAACAGCTATCTCTCCGACCTTTCTCGCTTCTTCTCTACAAGAAGCTTAACACTCTCCCCAACAAAATCCAGAGCGACCATATTTACTAACTGAACAAAGAAGTGCAAACTGGATCTAAGTCGACGGCATTACAATTCCTTGTCACTCAAGGAGATGTTTGGTGTAATTTTTGACAGGATGTGCTCCTTTACTCCTCACACGATCGCAATCACATCACAGTTTCTGTTGTTTTTACAGTTTTCGTCGACGACATTTAACAGTACGCCGACCAGACTTCGGGCGCAACAAACATCAGACATGCACTGACCGCCATTCACAGTGGAGCCATCAACACCTTCACTTTAAATATATGTTCAGCATGCAACGAGTCTCTGCATGACACTAACCACCTCTTTGCATGCCCAACGAATCCCACTCATCGAACACCCTTCTTCCTATAGTTCGACCACGTTGATGACCGTTAGATGGTTTTGATGACAATCAACCTGAACCTTACCACCCAATCAGAGATTAGATAGGAAAAGATTTATCTGTCCACATGACCATAAACTGTTTGTGTTGGTCAAAATGTGTGATATTTTAATGATAATTGAGAGGTCATTATTTCCTAAATATAATATTCTTTAATGCTTAAACGAATAAAATTTGTATATGCCCCATAAACCTAATGTATGTCCGATTCTTAGACTGACCTCATGCTAATTTACTCAGTATATTAAATTTAGCTGAGTTAATTGAGTTTATGTTACATATATCTCAAATTAATTAGGTTGATTTTATATAAATATCGCAGACAAGAATCAGCATAAAGTTTTAGACTCACTGTCCTATAATTTGTGTTAATAAGATGTCAAATATGATTGTACTCCATTAACGGTGTCGTTGAATAATGCTTTTTGAACTCAAGTATGCTTTGACCTTTGAAAATAGTAGCTGGAGTATAAAAAGTCCGTTTACACCGAACTTAACCTTTCATTAATTATTTTAGTTATATTCTTAATGCGTATATATGTATTTGCGTAGAAAACTCGGTGATTTATTTTGATTTACCCCTCAAACAGCCCATCATATCTTCCAATTAATATTAATATTAAATATTTGTCTTTCTATAATTTTTTTTTATATATATAGAGCCACCATGGCTTCCTTCACATCAACGACAGCATTTTTAGGACAAGATTCCTCCAAATCAAAACTTTTTAGCCCTCCAAATTTCATAATAAGTCGAGAATATGAAACCTGTTTCGAAAATGGCAACGGATACGGACATTTCAGCAATGGAGTCTCTAGCTCTGCCTGCAGAACTGTATTGGGACTGCAAAACAGAGCCGGAATCTCCGCTGTCCATGGAGCTATTTTCCATGACTGAACCAGCTGGTTTTTGGCTCAATGATGACAATTTTGAAAATGGTAAACGTTAAAAATATTTTTATATTGTTTTATAGTTTATTAACATTGTATTAATTACAGGCATAACAATGACCACTGATGATGATTTTGACTTGAAACCCGGAATGGAGTTACTCAATGGAGATGACTTAATTTTGGAATTCAGCGACTTTAAGGAGGAAGGTAGGTCTATTAAATATTCTAAATTAAAAATTTCGTTAGTTTTTGATTCGTATTTACCGGAACGTATCCGTATTTTTATGCGGCCAAGGAATGTCAACTTGGCAGCATTCTTCGAATATATTTAGGAAATCCAGGTTTTTGTGAACAGAAATCCATAAAACATATATAATTTTGTGTCCGAAGTAACGCCATGTATCAATTATATTATGTTCTGTCGATAGCCCAAAAAGAACAATTTGTCGAAAGTGTTTTAATTCACAATGTCAAAATCAGCTGTTTTGTTTTGTTGTTTTAATGCTTAAAAAATTAATTTTTCAAAGATTTAAACCAATGAAAATGCGTTTTTTGAGTGATTGAGTTGTTGTAGCGGCAAATTTTTGCCGAGTTGACAGTCGGTTCCGGTTACGTAGACCCAAATGTCGTGGGAACGGATCGTGTCTAACTTAATATAGGGCATATCGAGGGTATAAAAATATTATATGGAGAAATATGTACAAAAACCAATTATTAATTCACAAAATACAATACAATTGTTACATTCCTCTGGGACGAAGTCGTGAGAACAGCTAGTGGTTAATAAAATTGCAACAAATCAAAAAAAACTAAGTTTATGCTGAGAAATTAAAAGAGGCGCTACAGTTTGCAATGAAATGCCGCTTATAGTGAATCTCAAAAATAAATAAACAATTGAAAAGTGAAAAAATACAAAATGACTCACCTCAAGTCTGGTTACTTGCATTTTTTAATGCTATTTTGGGAATATGTTATTTTGAAAAAATAAAATTCAATCAGTTTCATTTTGTACTATATTATTAATAGTATCCCAGATTGTACAAAATAATTATTTTGTCTTG